TGCTAAGAAATTGGCATGCTTAAGCAAATAATTAGGCACAATCACGTCAAGGAGTGGACGAGCTCATGCTAAGGATTAGGCATGATCATGCCTAAAGGTAATCATGCTCATGGTAAGTTGATAGGCTACCGAGCACATAGATATAAGCTAGCATATCCCGACCTTGTTAACAAATCTGAAAGGAATAGCTTGACACATCTTTGTCAAAAAAATTAAAAGGAATGGGGTAGACCCCAACTTTGTTTAAAATTTAAAAGAAAGTGGTTGGACCCTTACCTTATTCTATAAGAAAAATTCAGAAAGGTGCTTGCAAGGGGCAATGCTTAAGGTTCTTACATCGGGTAAGACTTGGTGTGTTTGTTTGGGCCAAGGCTTTATGTGCTTGCGCGGGGCAATGCTTGAGGTCCTTTCTCGAGATAAGGTTTTATGTGCTTGCGTAGGGCAAGACTTGAGGTGCTTGCTTGGGGCAAAGCTTGAGATGTTTGCACAGGGTAAGGCTTGATGTGTTTGCTCGAGATAAGGTTTTATGTCCTTACGTCGGGCAAGGCTTGAGGTGCTTGCATGGGGCAAGGTTTAGGTGATTGCTCGGGGCAAGACTTTATGTGCTTGCGTGGGACAAGGCTTGAGGTGTTTTCTCGGGATAAGGCTTGAGATACTTGCTCGGGGAAAGGCTTAATGTGTTTACTCGAGGCAAAGCTTGAGGTGCTTGTGAAAAACAAGGCTTAGGTGCGTACTCAGGACAAGGCTTGAGGTGCTTGCGCAAGGCTTGAGGTACATGCTCAGGGCAAGGCTTCATGTGCTTCCTCAGGCCAAGGCTTGAGATACTTGCACGGGACAAGGCTTTATGTGCTTGGGCGGGGCAAGGCTTGAGGTCCTTGCTCGGGGCAAGACTTGATTTGCTTGCTCAGGGCAAGGCTTTATATGCTTGTGCGGGACAAGACTTGAGGTGTTTGCACGGGGCAATGTTTTATGTGCTTGCGTGGGACAATGCTTAAGATGTTTGCTCAGGAAAATGCTTGAGGTGCTGGTGCGGGGCAAGGCTTGATGTGCTTGCACGGGGTAAAACTTGAGGTGTTTTCAAGGGGCAAAACTTAGATTCTTGCTTTAGGCAAAGCTTTATGTGCTTACGCGGGGTAAGGCTTAGGTGTTTGCTCGGGGCAAGGTTTTACGTGCTTGCGCAAGGCAAGTTTTGAGGTGCTTGCATGGACCAAAACTTGAGGTGCTTGCTCGAGGCAAGACTTTATGTGCTCTGGGGGGTAAGACTTTAGGTGCTTGCATAGGGTGAAGCTTTATGTGCTTGAGTGGGGCAAAGTTTAGGTGCTTACTCTGGGCAAGACTTTAGCAGCATTACAAATGAAAAAAATTGGCTTTATTGGGATAAGATCCCGACGACTACTTAATTGAACATAACTTGACTTGACTAGAAATTAAATATTGGCATGCAAGCCCAACCAATCGAATAATAAAAATGAATGGGGCATGAAAGCCCAAGAAAAAAATGTAAAACCCTGATACTTTAGATGTATGGCAATAACCAACTAAACAATGACATTGATTGTGTTAGCTGTTGGTCGATTACTGCCCCGACCTCTGAAGTATTATCCTGTTACGATCATTTCTCAAATGCTTGTCTTGATCGACATAAGCTCCTAGGGATCCTCCCTTGATCAGAGACTTAATCTCGCGTTGCAAGGCTTTGCATGTCTCTGTGGTATGCCCATGGTCTCGATGAAACTCACAATACTTGTTCTTTTATCTGGTGTTAGGAGGGACCATATCCTCTAGGGCCATTTAGTTCTTCAAGGTCCTTGATCTCCATCAAAATGTTTGACCTGAAGGTGTTCGAATGTGCGAATGACGTCGGTGGTATGTCAAGTTTCTGCTTACCTCGAGCAATGTATTTTTTTCCTCGGGTTAGAAGTTCAGTCACTGATTTTGGCGAGATTTTTAACAAGGACATCTTGAATGCTTCACATCTTATAGCATATGTAAGGGCGGAGACAACTAATGTAATGTGTAGGTCGGGTATTTGGAGCCTTTTTGTATTAAATTGTATCATGAAATCACATAGGTGTTCATTTTGTCATTGACGAAGCTGCATGAGGGATGCGGCGGTCTTCCTTATGCGTTTACTACTTGCAAAGAAGGTGGAGAACTTATTAGCCAAATTTGAGAATGAGGTAGTAGAATTGGATTCTAGGGTAGAGAACCAATCCCTAGTAGAATTAGTTAGGGTTTGCGGAAAGGCTTTGCATATTACGGGATCTGGTGTGACCAGTAAGTTCATGACATCTGTGTGTACATTGAGATGACCGGTGTGATCCCATCATACTTCCTTATGCGATGGTATTTGAATCTGTTCGATAAGGGGGTAGGACAGTATACCAGGGGTGAATGGAGTATTGGGAGTGTACCTTGCTCTTCCCTAGGTATTTTGAAGAAGACCAGCCGCAATCCCATCATCTATGATCCTGGCGAGTTTACCCGAATCAATAGTAATCGATCTCGAGGCCGAGACAATTTATATGTGGGCGTCAATTAATTTGAGCAACTAATGAAGTCCATTAAGAATTGTACAAATTAAATATTATGGGCCACCTCAGCACCAACGATAAAAAATTGCTGGTGGAAGACTCGGAATAGTACTCTCTCTTTTCCAATGCATTTAACTTTGACTGCAGATATATTTATACCTTCTACTTGAAGGGATTATCAATTTTCTCACTCAAACTTTACTTTAATAATCACCAAAAAAAATTTGGTTTTCACTTGTGGGGTGTTACTTGCAGAGAAAATCTAAAGTTCGATAATGAAGGCAACCGCAAACTTTCTAATACCCTTTTGACTTAAAAAAAGTGTGTTATGTAACTTTTCCATTCTCCATCAACACGCTCCAATACAAATTTCAAAGTTAGTTTGTGCACGACATGCACGGTATATCTTTCCTGGTTTACAATAGCTCAATTCGAGTATTAGAAATGAGATGTTAAAATCTATATTTAGAGGTGGGTTCACTCTAGATAGATGTGAACCTAATGCTATAAAAAATCGTATATGTTGATTTTCGAATTTGACGATTGAGAATGAGTACGAACAAGATCTCCCAATACCTGAAACAAAGTCGTCGAAATGTGTCATCGTCACCCATTCGATACTTAAGTTAGAGAGAGAATTTGTAAGTTAGGCTATAGACTGAAAATTATGTAAAAATGTACATGAATAATGATCAAAGTCTTTATTTTTATAGAGGTGGTAGTACACTCTTAGTAGGATTGGATTAGTTGAACGCCTTTATCCGATTTAAGTAGTTATAGGATGTTTGGAAGTCGTACCATGTCTAGAAATTGCAATTAGATAAATGTTAGGCAATTGGTATTTGGATGAAGATGAAACTCTAATGGTGGAGTCCCATCATGATATGACAAAAGAGATATGGTAGGACTCAACCTTGTCGAAGTTGGATAAACCATATCATAGAAGAGTCCTAATGGATTATGTTTGTTGGAAGCAAAGTCAAGGCACTGAGGGACAATTTTCGTACCCGAGGACATAAGCCGTCGATGTCTATTTTGAAAAAGGTCGAGGACACATACCCGAGGAGGTCAAGTAGACTTCCCGTGAAATGTCCAATATTCAACCTCAGTTATGCGATCCTCGTGTTAAAATGTTTTTTGCTATATCAAAACCTAATGACAGGGTGTAACATTTTACAATTGTAGCATAGGGGACAATAGGATCCAAACAATATTTGTGAAAGGGAAATAAACACATTCTAGAACCAGGAAATCAATCTTTCAAAATCAGTTCTGTAGTTGAATTGGACTTGGGTTTGTATTATCCTAGACAAACCCTTTTTTCAGGGCTGTTTGGATAGTGATTTCCATGCTAAACATAAACACACAAGCAAAAAACTTTTCAAAATAAAGTATGAATGAGAGTTAGCCGAAAAGGATAGACACCACAAATCCCATTTTGTGATTGAAATTTAAAGGCCCCCCTATCCTACCCCTACCCTTACCCCTACCCCTACCCCTACAGAAATATGTTAGATCTCAAATATTTTGCTGTATCCTGCTTTGGTGGTACAGTCTTCTGGTACTAGTGCTAATAAACCAAATTTCCGTGAAAATAGTCTTTTTACTTGGTCCATGATTAACAACCAGCCAAATTTTGTTCTAAAAAATTTCAAGTCGACTTTATAAATCAATTTTCGTTTCCTCCTTACATATGCTACTGAGATTGCATAGATGTTATGATCAAAGACCCTCTTATGTCTACAGAAAGTGTCATAATCGCTAAAGTCGAACTTCCATTAATTTGCCCGCAGTGGTGTCAACTCGACTTATTGGCACATTTTCACATCTCTGAAGTCCGTCATTAACCAAAAACCTTATTCTCAAACAAGTTCCACCTTTTGATGTTAATATAAATTATGGCGTCGAATAAGATCTTGTCTAAGGTACAATAAACTATTTTACAATTAATCTAATCAGATAATCAATTTGATATTAATTTATGAAAAAGGTACCAAGAACGTATCTTTGGCTCTGTATTTGGAATGACAAAGAATTTTAAAATAGTGGAAATAATAAAAGCAATTAATATTAGTTAATTATAAATCAATTTTCGTTTCCTCCTTACACTATTCAAGATATTTAGTAAAAGAATACTATTGAGTTTACTAGGTAAGTATTTAGTTAGTTTGTCTTTTTATTTCTCCCTTTGTTCTGTAGGTGGTTATTTTTGCAGATGTGTTGCTAGGCCTGTTTAGTTTTGTTTTTTGTCCTTAGTCCTATTTAGATTGTTTTATTCGTATATCGTTAGGTGTGTTTAACTTTGTTTTATCGTTAAGCATGTTTAGCTGTTTGTTTTGGAATAGTGTCGTTGTTCGAGTCTGTAACCACGGTATTCTTCCGCCACAAGTTAGGGCTTATCAATAAATTATAAATTATCTGAGGTACCGTCCTCCTTTTGCTTAAAAAATAAATAAAAAGAGTTAACTAGGTAAGCAAGCTGCCACAGAGCTTATCCTATAATCAATCAGACACAATTTATCCCAACGCAAATAACATTCTTTTAATGAATATTAGTATCCCTCATTAAGGGCGTAGTAATAATTCCGACATGGTAGCATTTCAAAAGTGTTGATGCCTAAACTTTGGGTTTGAGAAAGCATACCTCAGCCTGATGTTGCAATGATAGTACATAATTGATGAGCTCATCAAGCATTATTGCCTTCCCAGTGATCTGAAAGGAATAATGTGCCAGTCAGTTATGTTAAAAATGAAGGCTATCTGGAGAAGTCTGAAGTTCACCTTGTCACATCCAGGAACAAGATCTTCAAGAACTTTCATTCGTTCGCTTATTCTTTCTCTTCTAATCTGCAATACCAATACGCATTAAGATTCAACCAATCTACAATAAATGTGTAAAATCTGGAAAATAGAAAAACAATAAGTAAATCGTACTCTTTCAGCAAGGCTGTGTCTGCTGGTTGTCTTCACCTCGTTTTGCCCTCACCTTGACTAAATTTTTGTTCCTATCTTCTGTTTCGTGGAATTGGAATTGTGTATACATTCTTTTGGAACTATTTTACAGCAACTTTTGGCAACTGATTTGTGGCTAACTTATCCTCATTTTCATATTCAGTGATTTCATTGCTCCTGTGCTCAATGTCTGCATTCTAATTATAAGAACAGCAAATTTTAAAACTTACAAAGATTGTCTTCAAGCAAAATACAACTATACAAAGAAAAACAGAAGTATACAAAGATGATGAAGAAATTAACGAAATCATTAGAGAAAACTTTGTCTAACCTCTGTGAGAGTTAACCGAGATGCATCATCAAATCTCTTCCTTTTTTTATCACTAGGCGAAAGGATCAAGTGACATCCTCCTTGAAATTGCACACAAACACGGTAAAGAAAGGATTTAGCAGAAATGTAATGAAAGAAATGCAAAAGAAGAAGAAGCATTGCACATTTTTATCGCCTTTCATTCCCCTTGAATTAATTGAATACAATCGAAAGAGCAACATATATACACGAAATGAAATAACAAACTTCTGGCCAGCAACAGGCTGCACATGCCTTTGCCTCCTACTATTCAGTTCATCAAGAAAGGACAGAAAAAGACATCTCAGCTGGAGCTTAACAGAAAAACTAACTACCAACTAACTACAAACTAATTTCCACTACTTTACACAAAAGAGAACTACTAGCCATTTTCCAGTTTCCTCTTTGCTCTTGCACTAGCTGTAGCATGAATCATCTCTTCATCATCATTGCTTGACATTTCATGCTGCAATAAACAGCACTGGCACTTAAAAGACCTAAACCTTGCCTCTTGACGCCTTCCAACCGAGGAGCAATTGGACGGATCAACAGAATCACCACTCAGAAGGGTGGTGTTCTGATAAAGCGAGCTGCTATTCTTCAAGATGCTTCCACTGCCAAAATCAATAAAATTAGGGCCTAGCTCGACAACAGCGCCATCCAACTGATACTGGAAAATGTCATTTTCACTACTCAAAACTCAATTTCCTGGCACATCAGTGGAGGAGCTTCTATTGACCTGATCTCAATAGGCAACTGAAGTTGCTTGGCTTTCGTCGTTCTGCACCAAGTAAACTAGTGGATTTGGATTATCAACGGAACATACAGGCTCTCCAACCAGAAGTTCATCACTAAGCCCATTGTCATTCAAGAAATTCTCCTGTGTGCAAATATCACAGAATATGAACAATCCAGAGGGTTTTTTTCCGTGCTCTCAACTTTCCATTCAAGAAAAGAACTACAATAAAAACCAAATTAGAAATAACAATTCCAATTGAAGTATTGAACATTCAATAGAAGACTGTAAGTTAGAATATTATGGAGGGTTCGACTATTAGCTAGAAAAAGAATCTGTTATAGAACTGACTAAGCAAGGAATAAACATCTTTGGCAGCTTTATTAAGCATAGAGAAGGTGAAAGAGAAAAGAAATTAAGCAATTCCAGAATTTTCAAATACATCAAAGGGAAAGAATCCAATGCAATTTCACACAATCAGCTCTAAATTCTATGACCCTAGAAAATCAAAATTCGCAGGCTGAAGAAAAATAATAATAAAAAAAAAAAAATCGTTTCTGTAACACGAAAAAAATTAATTAATAAATAAAACCTATCTATGGGTAATCATTAATTATTTTATGCAAATGATGACAAAGAATAACATGATAAAGTAGCAAATCGTCAAAATGCGAAACCCAATAATCTGTCTGAAGATGTAGAAGCGAATTTTCCAGGGTCCTTAAAACAGATTCAGAATAATTTCTGAAACTACAAATTGTCGTACAAGTGTGGTTGGAGCATCCTTGAAAAATTTCACTGGAATGTTTTAAGATTTTGGTTTTAATAGTTTGAAATAAACAATTTTTTTTTTGTGTACTTAAATACATACTTGAATTATTTAACACTTTAAAAAATATTAATTTTTTTGACATTATAATCTTCAGTTTACTTTCCTAGGAAGAATATTATATTAATTTTGGAGTTAAATTTTATATGTTGTGCTTGTGATAAAGAGTTATTGCTTATGCTTCTTGTAAAATAATTTTTAAGTTTAGTTCATTTTTTTGAAAAAAAATTATGGTGCGTTTGATTTGCTATTTTTAAATCGTTTTCAATTATGCAAAACACTAAAAACATGTTAGGTCTATTATTTTTGAAAATGTATTTTCAAAAATAATGAAAAGTTTATAACATAAAATTCAGCGAAAATTCTAAAAACACTCGAAATATGAAAACGATCGTTTAAATAAAATTTTAAAAATATAAAATTATAACAAATAAAATATTTAAATTAATAAATATTTAATATTTAAAAATAAAATCTAGAATTCTAAAAAAAAAAAAACTAAATTCTAAAAAATATAATGTAATAAAATAATTTTTTGAAATTTCAAACTAAACGTGTTTTCTAATTTTCTGTTTTAATAAATAATTTTTAAAAATGACAAACCAAACGCATTTTTGAAAATCCTAAAACAGACCCTTAAAACAGAAAACAAAAAATGAACTCAAAACTCAAAATCGAAAATTGAAAACCAAAATACAAACCAAACGGGCCCTTATTAATCTAACAAGTATTTTCAAAAAATTATCAAATAAATTGATCAATATTTTTTTAAGGGAAAATTGCCTTAAACCAGACCTTTAGTTTCACATTTTAAAATTTCAGGTTTTCACGTTTTTTTTGCATTTATCAGGTTTTTTATTTTTTCAAAAATTTGTTTTTTATCATTTTAATTAAATAAATAATCATTTGAAACCCTAATTTATCCATTTCCCACACAACCCCCCACCCTCGTTTTTCTCTCTCTCTCTCCATCATTTATCTCCTCCGTCGACGCCTCTTCCCTCCCTCCCTACCTTCTCCTCCCTATCGGAGCGTCGACCACAGCAGCATCGATGCTCAGTGTCAACGTTGCTGTGATTCACAGTAGCGTCGAACGCTGGACGCTACCTCCTCCTCCCTCCCTACCTATCTTCTCCTCCCTGTCGGAGCGTCGACCACAGCAACATCGATGCTCAGTGTCGACGCTGCTGTGAATAACAGCAGCGTGCAGATCATGGGGTGCTGCAGATATGGGTTCTTTCATCCATTTTTTATCCAGTAAGTGCTACTCTGCCCCAAATTAGCTCCAGATTGTATGTGGCGAGGGGATTTTTTGAAGTTTTCCTGAAATAAGAACTCATTTTCTCGTGAGTTCACTGGTGATTAGCTGGTCAATTACTAAATCATTCGATATTCGTTTTTTGGTTTGAAGGAAGCTTTTGGTTATGCTCCATCGTGGTTGTGATAATAAAATGGGCGATTTGGGGGAGGAGGTGGTGGTGGTGGCAATGGTGGTGGGATGGGATGTGGTGGTGGTGGTGGTGAGTGTGATGTTGGAGATGGTGTAGCGGGCTGGTGGTGTAGGATGTTGGCTGTTTGTAGCGAATGCGTGGATCTAATATTTTGGGGGTGGTTGTTCTCTCCACTGTTCTTGAGATTTTGTGACTAATGAAATTAACTGTGACCTTAATAAGATACATGTGAACCCAAAATTGGTCATCGTTTTTTGTTATTGTTGTGACTAATGAAGCTACCTGTAGCCTTAATAAGATATCCGTGACCTCAGATTTGGAGCAGTTATCTGAATTAAGCTAACTGTGACCTTAATACTGCT